CTCTCAGCCCAGTGACATTAAACCATTCAAAAACGTCAACACCATCATAGAACCAGGTCTTGCTGCAAAGTGCCCACCTCCGGGGGCACACTTGCCAGGTGGTACAATGATCAGAGCATGGTATGACATGTCCTTAGTACGTAGCATGAACTCGGTCTGCTGGCCACTTCCCGAAGGGAGCTGCCCCACAGCCATCATGCAGAAGCATCGCAAGCCAGGATACTTACGCTGATAAGGAACCCTGCAAGATTGAGATTCACTCTCGGAAGGCGATACTCACACCTGCCACAATTTGTCGCCCGTCACGCATCGCCAGGATTGGCAAGGTGGCTGATGGCCAATGGCTCATAAACCATGACAAGTGCAAGGCTCGGCACCAGGTTGAGAAATCAGCATACTTGGGAACTGAGAATACAAAGGGTGTGGGGGGTTCGTTGCTACTCCTTGTTGGAGTCCTTCTGGTGCAGAACCGTGCTTGCACAACTGTCACAGATCGTAAAATGAATTATCATACATGCCCGGACAGCGCTGCGCACCGATGCCCTGATGGATTCAAGAAAACTCCCCCTCAGCCAGCAAAAACAAGTGGCGCAGTACCTGACAACTTGAAGCCTGAAAGTTGCTACCAACTGCGCAAAACCCAACTAGCAACCGAACAGAACTCTTCGAGCTTCTTTGCGATGATCACAGCGGAATGCATTGGTTCATTCGGATATTCTGCTCCAGCACTCCCCACGCCGATTGGCTGCTTCTTTCAGGCTTTGGAGTTTAGGGCGTTTAGGGGCGATGGACTGGAGGCAAGGCCTCTGCCGAAAATTGTCAGGACAGCTTTGGCCGTGACATTTTTCTCAGCTGCTACATATGATTTCACCGTAGTGCTCTTACTTCTTGGTACCCGCCTGACTTAGGCGACCGGTGTCAACTTCACGGTCTTCTTGCTGTTGTCGTGGGCCTTGAGGGCCTCCCGGAGCTTCAGCGCTTCGGGACACGGTTTGTGGGGATGTTTTGATCTTAAGCCTCTTGAAGGCTTAAAGCTTCCTCGTGCACTCAGCAGCTCCTGAAACAAAATGTTTCCAAAGCTAACCAGTGTGGGAGCCATCCTGCCAGTTCGGACAAGGTGATTCCGGAGATTTTGGCCGGAAGGGTCTATCACTGTTGCCTCCAAGTGTACTGCCCGGGATTGGACACTGCAAAGATTCTCCGGGACTCTGGGGGTCAACGCACCAGGCAGCTCGGCGGGCGAGCTTTGGTGGGCTGTCCAGGGATACTGGGGCTTCTCTTGGCAGGGACCAGGCCACGAGACCAGACGAACAACCGGCGAGGAAACCAGGAGAATGGTTGACTTCTGCACAAGTTGAACAACCCCACGCACCGAGGGTGGGGAACAACGAATGACTCCGAATGATGCCTCCAACTTCATGTAGTTCAGGAAGTCAGGCACAGCGTCCTGGGCAGAAACTTCCAATCAAAAGGCCGCCCCATAGACTCACCAGAGGCGCGGATGTGTATCTGCTCTCTTTGCCTGAATGCCTGCTCTTCCGCGTCTCAACGTATGTCTCACAAGATTCTCTTGCATAACATATCTCTATATGATCTCTATATGTCTATATGTACAGATACATATAGACATTTATACATATATCTTGGATGATGAAGTTCGACAAGGATGAAATTCAGACCTCCCGTACTGCCAAGCAATTGCTGAAGAACCGGAGAGGACCCTGGATCCCATATTCTAAAATGAACTGCGAGATGTGCTCCTGGCCACCAGAGCTGAAGAACTGCAAAGCCCGAGCATATCCCTCAGCAAGGACCTGCGCGCATCTTCGAAGTATAGCCCAGATGACCATCCAGTGGCGAATCGAAAAAAGAGCCAAGAGATTCCGGAAAGGGATCCAGGCAGGGTCGGGCAAAGACATGAAGCCATTTCGATGAAACTACTGCCTGTTGCCGGTACTTGAACTGGGCGACATCGGCCTGCAGGAATGCACCAGTGGTTTCAAGCTCAGTCTCAGCCGTAGCACGCAGAACACACAACCAAATACAGAAGCAAACGCTGCTGACACCTCGGAAGCAGCAAGTCGCCAAGCCGTGAATCAGAAGGTCAGCAACTTGCCGGAAACCGTCCATTGTCACCTCAATCCCTGTCCGAATCCCCGTGCCAATCCTCACCCCAATCAGATTGAATGACTTAGAATCACCAAACCAACGACACTGCGTCCGCGCCTTGTTCGAAACCAAAGTCTGCTGCGCGTCACCCTCAGCCCTAGGTCTTGGGTTATTATCGGCACTGGCTTTGAAGGGGAACCCAGTCGGACTCAATCTGGTTGAGGAAATACTAACTACAACCCGGCTCTGTGATTTAGGGAATCTGGGGCAAAGAATTCAGTTTGTGGTGCTGCAGAGCCTGCCAGGCAAAGCTAAACTTGCTCACTGCGGGCATGCTTGGGGGGGAAGAACAAATTGTGTCTGTTGCCCTTTGCTCCCCTGGAAGGTTCCTGAGAGACCCTGGCATATGAATATACGAATACTCGTATACTCGTATACTCGTATACTCCTATACTCCTATACTCCTATACTCCTATAATCACATACTCATATACTCATATACTCATCTACTCATCTACTCATATACTCATATACTCATATACTCATCTACTCATCTACTCATCTACTCATCTACTCATCTACTCATCTACTCATATACATGTACTCATATACATGTACTCGTATACATGTACATATACATATACATATACGTATACATATACGTATACGTGAACGTATACGTATATGTATATGTAAATGTAAATGTATCTGTATATGTATAATATGTATATGTATATGTATATGAGTGTATGTATGTATACGTCTGTATGTGTGCATGCATGCATGCGCGTGTCCCAATTTGGAGCCAGGGTCTTGATGACGATCTGGTGAGCGAGCTGCCTGTCAGGACCATGTCGGCGCTCGTCATCGAATCGGTAAGGCGGATAAATCCCTACAATGCATCACAACTCACAACTGCTTGGTCACCAAGAATGAAGCTCCCGAATCGCCCTGAGTTCTCCAGATCCGATTCGAAACTTTTCGGCGGCTCTGCTCTAAACAGTGTATCCGCAGAAGGGCGAATGACAGCGAGGCTTTAGCAACATGCTTGGCCAATGTGCAACGTCCAACCAATCCCCACAGTTATAAGATGGAGAGAATCTGAAGGATGAAGAAGCATCGAAGAAAAACGAAGCCCACGTTGCCTCGCGCTGAAGAGCTCTGTCTGCTTTCGGATAACCTGCGTCTTGCTGCCAGACAAAGAACAACACTCCTGACGGAAGTCTCCCCCATGAAGCTTGGCACAAAGCTGCACTATCGATAAATGCCACATCGGAGGTACACTGGTAGATCTATAGGATTTCATGGAGAAGTTGACGCACGCGGCTTAAGATGTAAGACAGGCAATCTCACAGGAGCCCATCTGACAGACAGGGGTTGTCATGCGGGGACCTTGGTTTTGTTCTCCTGCTCTGCCACTTGGATGTCCTGCTTCATCTCCTGTGCTCAGCTTTGAGCTGCTCAGGCCAACGGTTCACACACCGATCTGCTGCAATGCTACTAGTATTTGCACTCGTGCTCAGAACAGTTGTTCAGAGCCAGAGTCTCAGTCGCCTCATCGTCACTCCACTGAACCATGCTCGGAAGCAACACCATTCAAATCGTTTCTGCCATGATACAGTGCAATGCCTTCTTTGAACCTGCGCAAAGCTATTAGAGGTAGAGGCCTTGCTTGGGCAAAGAGCAGCAACAAGCGCAGCCAAAAGCACTAGAAGCGGACGAGACCGTGACAGCCACAAACAGTCGAAGCGGACGAGACCGTGACAGCCAAAAACAGTCGAAGCGGACGAGACCGTGAGAGCCAAAAACAGTAGAAGCGGACCAGACCGTGACCGCAAAACAGTTGTCGCGGACGAGACCGTGACCGCAAAACAGTAGAAGCGGACGAGACCGTGACAGCCCAAAACAATCGAAGCAGACAGCCACAAACAGTAAGAAGCGGACGAGACCGTGACAGCCAAAAAAATAAAGACCGTGACAGCCAAAAAAATAGAAGCGGACGAGACCGTGACAGCCAAAAATAACAGAAGCGGACGAAACCGTGACAGCCAAAAACAGTAGAAGCGGACGAGGCCGTGACAGCCAAAAATAACAGAAGCGGACGAGACCGTGACAGCAAAAAACTGTAAGTAGAAGCGGACGAGACTGTGACAGCAAAACAGTAAAAGCGGACGAGGCCGTGACAGCCAAAAACAATAGAAGCGGACTAGACCGTGACGGCCGATGACAGTAGAAGCGGACGAGACCGTGACGGCCAAAGACAGTAGAAGCGGACGAGACCTAAAACAGCCACAAACAGTAGAAGCGGACGAGACCGTGACCGCAAAAAACAGTACAAGCGGACGATACCGTGACAGCCAATAGCAGTAGAAGCGGACGAGACCGTGACAGCCACAAACAGTAGAAGCGGAACAGACCGTGACAGCCAAAAACAGTAGAAGCGGACGAGACCATGACCGCCAAAAGCAGCAGAAGCGGACGA